TTAGTTGCCACAAATGTCATCACTTGGCTCTCGTGGTACAGGACCTGTACATCAGATCCCGGATACCTCTCGAAGAACACCACATATTACCAGAGAATCATTGATAAGAAGATAGAGTTAGGCATTCAGGCCAAGAGTGGTCTCACGAGAGATACCGATCCGTTCACTGATATCCGTTTGTGCCACACGTGCCGCACATGTCAGACCCTGAGGTCAACCCACTGTCGCTTCTGTAACCGATGTACAGCCGGTTTCGATCACCACTGCATATATCTGTCCACTTGTATTGGTCTCAACAATCGGATCTCATTCTTCACACTAAACATATGCCTACTATTAGTTGGTGTATTGGGAGCACTGGTAGTCTACTGTGTGGCCAATCGGGACGACACTCTCTACACACCCTATAATTGGTTTAACTTTTGTTTTTGCCTTAAATTCTCGATCATAGGACTCGTGATGAGTGTCTGCAACATAAGGCGTGCGGCCATTAATTTGACCCAAAATGAAGAACTCAAGGCCTGGAAGTGTCGGTACAAACACCTGAGCGATAGTGAGGGCCGGTTCACCAATCCGTACGATAGGGGCAGCTATTGGAAGAATATGAGCGACTATTTCACCAAAAAGTCCTTCCGATACGCGAAGATTCACTCATTTGATTGCAATGTCTGACACATCGCTGCCACAGTTATCTAGTTCATTTTTGTCTCAAATTAGTTTTCAATTATATAATAATTTACAAATGCTTTTGAGAGCTTTTTACAAGTTTTGTTAATTAAAATTTTACTTGATTATTTATAAAAATTTCTATATATCCTATAATTCATTAACATACAATACTTTCTACTAACTTAACATTGTAAATATTAAATTAATTATACAGACATTAATGAGACATTCATTAATTCCTTGTTTTAGAGTCAGTTTCTATTGTATGAAGTTTTTGGTTTCAAGTGTGGCAAGTAGTGGATCCCTGTCCACCACTCTATCATCCCTTAACAAAAAATCTATTATAGAATATCCCTGTTTATTATTATTAATAATAAGATAATGATCAAATAAAATATTATTTGTTTTTATTTCAAAACTATTTAATTGTTTAAACAAATATTTGAATAATCAACAATCAATTGATAATTTAATTATAATTATAAAAATAAGGCTAAATTAAAACAAAATTATTTGTAACATTAAATTCATTGATTGCAAAATCAGTTGATTAAAAAGTTTTATAAAATTTAAAATTCGCTGAAATCAGGAATAAAACATTAAAATCTAATATTTTAAAAACAAAGCAAATATAGCAAGCAAACATTTTATGTGAATTTAGAATAATTAAAATCATTGGTAATATGAGACCATTTGCTATATAATTAAAAATTAATTAAAACAAAAAACTAGATATAATTTGTTTAGAAAAGTATTCATAAATATTTTCAATTAATATATATTTTCGACACAACGGTTCCCATCAGAAGTACTTCTTGAGGACATCAGTCAAGTAGTGGGCGTTCATGAGGTCTAGCTTTGACTGATGGTATCGGAACAGATTGGGGCACTCAATGGACTGGCACTGGATGTTGGCGTCGGCACAACCGCTGCACTGTTTGCATACATTGAACACATTGTGATGTTTGAGATGAATGTCCCTCACGTCCAGACACACCGATTGCATGGACTGGTATGGCGCTCGGCTACAGTCCCCACACAAGTCCTCTCCCTTCGAGTTGGCCTCACATGCGATACATTGGGTTGTGTTGAAGAACTGGGGGATAGTCTTGGGCTGAGCCTTCTCCCTACCCAACAGGTATTGGTAGCGATTGTAATGAATCCTTTTAGGCATCTCTCGGTACCAGTCGTTCACATTATGGCCCAACAGCTCAAACACCCGATTCAGCGCCGGTATTATCGCCCTTTCGATGTAGTACTGGGCGTTGAGTCTAAGGGACGGGTCGTTAATCATTTCTAACGGCTCTCTACACATCTTATAGAGGGGTTCGTTGGGTGGGCCGCAGACCACCACATAAGGCACCCGTTCCTTGTGTTTGGGTTCAGCGCACGGGTCGGCCGACACCTTGCGTTTAGCGATCTCTTTGGAGGGCACGTGTGAGCGCTCGCTGTAATACTCGGCGCCCCTGTACTCACGCGCGAACACAAAGTCATTCAGAATAGTGACCCTCCCGTCCATAATCTTCTGGAACTGACGGAACAGATACTGTTTCACTCCATTCACGTCATTCGTTTGGAACAGTATTCTCAGCGACTTCTCCAGTAGTTTGGCGACCGCTGGACACGTGTCTCGGCGTACGGTCTCAATGCCTTTGGCGTCAAACTTTGGCTTCTGCTGGTCGACCGACTCGTAACTGAAGCCGACGTACCGTTTCTTAGTCTGAAGAACGCACGGGAGGTATACCTTCTCGAACTTGAGTCGCACGGGCTTTGGGTTGGACTGAGTGACCGCTTCCGCGATTTCGTGACCCCTTTTGAAGGCCTCCTCTTTGGACAGACCGGGAAAGTGCACAAACAGGCTATCAGTGTCCCCGTAGACCACTTTTCCGCCCCATTCCGGTCTACTCCCCACCAGATTTATGGCTCTTTCCAGTGTTTCCCTCCCTTTGGCCACAATAGAGTCCGCGACCTCAACACATGGCATACGACCCGTGAAGTTAGCGCTCGTATAGCCGTACGTGAAGTTGGCTATCATTTTGAGACCCAGTTGTCTGGCCTCTAGTTTCCGATTCAACGCTTTATTCGGTGTTTCCTTTTTGTTATTCATTTTCATGGCATTCTTGACCATAATTCTGGTCTCAAGAATCTCATCCAACATTCTATACATAAATGGATTTAAGTTACAAAATGTAAATTAAATTAAATCCCAAATCATAGGCAATGAGTTGACAAACTTGGGTAAAATGCCTCTCCGGACGTAATCCTTAAGAAAGACCACTCCGTTGGGAGAGATATGGATATCATCGCGTAATTTGTAAAGTAATTGTTTGCGTACTTCGAGTCCAATACATCCTAACTCTTGGAAAGGCGTTTCTCTGCAAAACGGAATCAGAAATTATTAACACTGTTGACAAACAATAGCCAAATTGTAATCAATTACTGGATGAGTTGATCCACTTTTCCTAAACAAGTCGAGTAACAGTAGTTATATGCGATCATCATTGAGGGGTAGAGGCTCTGGAAGTCCAACACCACAACGGGATCGCAATAATACTTGGAATACGGCTCCAGAATCAGTGGCAATATCTCCGGCGCTCGCATGGAGTGGACCTGTCGAGAGCTGGGAGACACCGGCATGTAGTCAAACAGTCTGGTCATCCGCAACATAATAGCCTCCACCCTAAACTGTGAGCCCCGGTTATACACCTCATGGAACTGCATCCCGAAAAGTCGGGCCAATTCACTGGTTTTGGACACAAAATCCAATTTATCTAAGATCTGAAGCGAACCAACGGTGCGCATGAGGTAGTACTCCATGACTCGGCGCCGGTTGTACTGATCGTATCGGTTGGCAAAGAGTTGCGTGAGTTTCTCGAAACTGAAGGCCGGTATGCGTTGGTGGAGGACATGGAAGTGGATGTTCTCGTAGTTATACTGAGTGAGTGTCACTTCGTGTCTCAAGATTTGCCACAAATTCAATGTAATTCTTCCGCAGAGTTCGCACTTCACGTTCGGCGCGCTCTCGACGTTACGACAGAAGCGGTCGTCGTTGACGCGCGAGAGGGCCGTCATTATCGACATATTCAACACATTAGCCCTTTTAATGACATAACCCCACGAAAGGGTGTCCACTTTGAAGCCCACAATAATGTCTGGATCCCAGCGCTTAACTACTTCCACGAACTTCATCAGCAACACGACCTCATCGTCCACATAATCTATGACTAGATTTTTATAGGAGGCGCCCACCGAATGATAAGCGCGTCTACGGCTCGTACGGATCGAGTTGAGGGATGTGCTGCACTCGACGGTCTCCACTTCGGGCTCAACGGCTATCAAACCGGTCGTGTATTTGGGTCGCGAGTCGTCTCCAGCCGGACGATCGCAGCGCAGGCTATAGAATATGACTTCAATGGGATCGGTATTGGCGTCGGGATTGAGTTTAGCGCGAGTGGACACATGCACCTCAACGCTCATTGTTGTCAGATATTGACACTCCCTATCAGTCACACCATTGCCCGGACTCTCTATATCATCGACACTACTGAATGCGAAAATGTTTGTAGGAGTGGGCCCTTCGATAGCGGACTGATTGCGATAATAACCCGGTTTAATGTTCGCAGAAATAGATTCATTTGGTGTCCTATTGTGTCGGGAAGTGTTGGCCGAACTGTAACTCAACCGAAAGTCAAACTCTTTTTTTGTTGAATTGCTTAATGTCTGCGAAAATGGTTTACATTTTTGGCTATTCATTGGAGTTGAGTGCTGTTTAGCGCGCAAAGAGGCAGTAGTGAGTGGACTGGCAGTCATAGGACTGGATGTCTTGCCAAACGAACGGTTAGAGTTCTGCGAGTTTTGTGACGAGTATTGAGTGAAATTCGGTGAAAGAGTTTTGTTTGAATAGAAACTATAGACTTCATCATCGGATCCGTTGTTTGAGGTCTCATTCAGCGGACTCTCAGGTATCTCATCAGGCATTTCAATGTCGATATGTGCTATGCGTTTGGAGGAATGGGAGGCATTGGGGCTGGCATTCAAAATTGCTTCATAGTTATCGTTATTGAAATGTTTGAAATCATTATTTAATGAAAATTGTTTGCTTTTAATGAGAGATGAATTCAATTGTGTTTTATATGGAAAAGAAATTTTCAAATCGTGTCGAAAATCGTTAAAATTTAAACGCTTTAAACAAATCGTAAACTTTTTATTGCAGAGAGACTGAAGGAAACGGCGTTTCTCTCCACCAATTAATGGCGTTTTTAAAAATGATTTCCTGTCGCCGTCGGTGAACACGTGGCCGTCAGTGAAGGTATGGTATGAATGGGAGGCCTTCAGTGGGCTCAGAGCCACCACTTCGCGACCCAATTGTCGCAGACATCGCTCTGGAAGTGATTTAACTATTTTAACAACGACTCCATTCACATAATGTCCATACCGTTCATCTCTGGCCACTTTGTGGCCGCACTCTCTCTGTGGCAATGCCTCCGCAACTACTTCACCGATCTTTCTCTTCACGGCGCCCACGACTACAGTGTCGGCCATCTCTTCACTTCTTGAGCCCTGACTCAACTGTTCCAACGCCTCGTTGTTCTCATTTGTGGCACAATTGATGGGATTGCCCTCCGATTGGAAGGAGTCGTCGTCGAAAATGCCGTCAAATTGAGGGATATTTGAGTGGTTCGGGTAGTAAGACATGTAGGGGTAGTCGAAGTCGCAGTCGGCCTGCTGTGGTGGTGGCGCCCCGTGTTGTGCCTCCACTGCCGGCATATTGTATTGCATTTGAGGGACAGTTGGCATTTGATGGCCCACTTGTGGCACATTGTGCGGCCAATTCTGTTGTTGAGCGGCGTATGTGTAATGACTGGTATTGTGCGGCACTTGAAGTGTTGGCACAATTGGGTTCTGCAGAGGGTTTTGGAGGTAGGGTTGACTCGCTTCGGGACTCTCATTATAGCCATACATTTGTGGCGAATAGGCGGATGGCATCCGGAACTGTCGCAACGGATTGGGTTCAGCAACCGGTTGGGCACTAATCTGTTCCATAATCTGCTGACCAGTCGACTCATTAGAGGTCTCATCCTCGTCCTCCTGTCCCCCTTCGTATGCATTGCTCTGATATTCTGTAGGATTTTGTTCAACCGCTTCATTGGAGTTGTGTTCGGATGGAGGGGATGGCGAGGGAATGGGATGAAGTGCCGAGTATTGAGGAATTGTGTCAAATGTCTGATCCACTCCTTCATCCATTTGTTCATTGCTTTGTTCGACGCCTCCGTCATCACCGCCCTCTTGGTCTCCATTCGCGTATCCATTGCCCTCAACCTCTGGACTCCCATTTGTGTCCATTTCACGATTCTTTGTGGCGTTCGCTTCGCCAACATCTGAGTTGTCGTCTTCTGAGCAAAACGTCTTCATCAATGCCTCACTCAAGGGATCATTCGCTGAACCATTGATTCCATTCTCGAAGACATTATCAATCTTCTCGACGGCACCGATAGCTTCGCCGAATTCATTGACGGCAATACCGATCACCTCCTGTTCCTCGTCGTCATAATGATTCCACTCATCCCTGTCCTCATAGACGGGAGAATCACTGTAATAGTCATCGACTCCGGTATCGATCATAGGCTTGGGCTCCAACTCATTCTCCACTCCCAACACAATGCTGTCCACGCATTGAGAGATAGAGACCACAGTATTGACCAACTCTTTCATTGTGATCAACACGTCTTGAGTGGCCTGACTCTCTTCATGCGCAAGAATACCGCTGTAGTCGTTGTAATACATATTGTCGAACAGGAATGGACTGATCTCGTGGTTCAGGTATCTCTTCATGTGACGATCGGACAGTTTCGAGATGTCGAGCGAGAAGTCATCGCACAGTCTCTTCAGATAAGTAATCTTCTTATAGCCCTTCAGGTCTGTCACCACTCGTATGTCTGACTCATAGAACGGTATACTAACGGAGTTATACACAGTAGTAGAGGTGACCCCTCGGGGCACCCGTGAGCGCGACTTACGGGCGCTACTGGTTTTCGCGCCGACCTTTGCATTGGACTGAGATTTCGATTTCGCTTTACTAGCACTCGGTTTGGAATGGGAGGCGCTTTTAGGCGCCGATTTCTTAGCTACCGGTGTCTTAGCTACCGGTGTCGGCGGCGGCGACGGCTTAGCCTTCGCTTTGGGCGCGGCTTTTGTTTGAGCGCCTCTTTTGCCTAAAGGCTTATCAATAATAACAAAGGCGTCGGACACGAGGCGCGCGACTTCGTCCGGCTTTTTATTATTGACTTTTTTGGCGCCGCCGGTCGCGACCGCACCGGGCGTTCGCACAGACTTGGCAACCCTTTTTGATATTAAAAAATCTTTAACCGCACCCTTACTTTTGGTGCCGCCAGTCCTGCAGCCGCCGCGTTTGGGTCCGCCGTTCTTCAGCTCCTCCTCCACCTCAGCCCTCACTTCAGTCCAGTACTCCTGGTTCTCATCATACCGGCGCAGATAGGGTTTCATTATGAAGTCGGGCGTCGGCTTCAGCACCAGTAAGATCTTCTCTCTGGCCATCGTATCGAACCATTTGCTGTCGTAATAGTTCTCATCGACGGTCACAATCTCTCCCGAGAAGGCCCGGTATGTGAGGTCAGCCTTCGAGTGGTCCTTGTCATCGATCGTTTCAATGACACCAACAATGGTTGACGTCATCCTCGTGTCTAACTCATCGTCACTCTTCTGATTCTTGTCTATAAATTATTAGATAATTGCGTTAATAATTACAATTCAAAAGACATAACCATTGCATACATGGGCTTCGTTTAGCTGTAGTCCTGGATCTGCGACTCGAGTCTGAATACAGAGATGTAGTTCTCTGGACGTCGTCGTCATAATTAGTGTCATAGTTATTGGCGATATAATCCGAAAGCAAATCTCTCTTTTTCGATGATTTGGGTCCTATTTTGCTGGACGCGGGTCCGGGTCTGGCAGTGGTTGTCGCGGCTTTGCTCGACTTGGGTCCTGGTTTTGAGGCCACATCTGCTTTACTCGACTTAGGACCTGGTTTACTAGACTTGGGTCCCCCAAACGACCTGCGCCCAGGCCGAAATGATCTCCGGCCAGGGCGAGAGAACCTGCGGCCGGACCCAGACCACGCGCTGCCGAAGAGTAGGAGCCTGAGCAATCTGTTCATGCCTCAGTTGCTAGCGTCAGATCTGTTATCATCGAAATCCTTGGACTTCGAGCCCTTTTTCGGTGATTTCGACGTATTATTGAGACCCAAACTAAAGCTAAATGGCGTTCCGCGCGTCTCTTTGTCCGAACCGTCCGACTCGGAGAACGACATATGAATGGGTGAACCGCTGCCACGCTTTTTGCCGACAGCCGACGCCGGTTTCAATTGATCCCAGAGTGTGGACGACAACTGTTTAGTACTCTTAACGGTTCGTCCGGAACTCGATTTGAAGACATCGTCGTCTTCTTTGTCGGAAAGGGATGGCGAACGTCGACGACCGCCCATCGCGGGGGCGGCCCTACGTTTAGGCACTGACCGCCTCGATGTGTACGACTCGCTCACTAAGTCATCGTCCGATTCATCTGAAACTCTCGTAATCGACGTCTTCTTGCGTTTGTTTGGTGAGGAACGGGAGGATCTTTGCGGCCGTTTTTTGGCGCCGCCCTTCTTCGACGACTTCTTCGACGACGACCTCTCAAAGTCAGAGTCCGCGCTGTCGTCCTTATAGGTCGGCTTAAAGTCGGATCCGCTCTCATCCGATGAGAAGGCGCCGTCCAGTTGTGGTATTTTAGAGGTCTTCTCGTACTCACAATTATCGCAATCACATTCGCATTGATCTG